TCTCTTTCCGTGCACACGTTGGTTGCTGTTCGAAACATGTTTCTTATAATCGCCCTTTTCGTGTGAGAGAGGTGAGAGGAAAGGTGATAAGCCAAGATATTTTTACTACCTGGTTTTCGGTACCACTTCGTAATTTAGCCATTGTCTGACAGGTTAATTTAGACGTTCAGGAATGGAAGCCATTTTTCTTTCGGCTTTTCTCGGGTGAACTTGATATACTCTGACTATGCGTTTAACAATTCGAAACATTTGTCCATTTCCTCTTGTGTTGAGCAAACCACAAAACAGTTGTCTACATACCTACAGTAGAGTAGCAACCCGAGATCAGTCACCGGTGCTTCCACCTTAGACATAAATTCAATGGAAAGGCTTGCAGCCAGTCGTTGTCCCATTGCCAACCTTCTTATTTGAGCGTAGTACTTTCCGGAACATCTGAAGAATGAGCAGCTCAAGCATTCTTTTAAGAGTGCCATCAAGTGCTCCATCTTGAAGCCATACGTGCTCATTTCTTCTTCGTGTTGTGTAAGGAGTTCGAATATGGCTTGCATTACGGAGTCATTCGACACGTTTGTATAAAGGGCGGTAACGTCGAAGGACTCCATCACGCACCCGCTGTTGGGCTGCGCAGTACGTAGACGTTCTAGAAACATCTGGGTATTCGTAAGATGGGCTGGAATGTGTTTCAACAACTGGTTAAATATTAGGGTTAAAAACCATGTTATCCTGTCCGTGGGCCCGTCTACGCAGCTAATGATAGGTCTAACCTTAAATAGTGATGGATCGGTAGACGCAAGATCATCTTTGGATACTAACTTATGAGTTTTTATAAGTTAGTACAAGACGGAGCATGTTGGTAAGTCAACTTTTAGTTGAGAGATAACTGACGGTTTTAAACCAGCAGCCCTTGCCATTTTGGCCCATTCGTGATTCAATTTTCGGTATTTACTTTTAAATTCCTTCTCAGATAATGGGCGATGAAGCGAAGCATCTTCAAGATGCTTTTTCGTTATCTCCACATCTAACTGATGAGAAATTACGACAAACTCTCCATCCTTATCACTAACGGATAGTCTTATGGTTTTCAACCTTATCAGCTCTCGTGCCTCCCGCATACCACGTTTTTGCACTAAAGTGCGGTTTGAGCTGGATCTTTTCGCGCGACAGTGATTATGAACTTTGAGAGCTTCATTCCCAAACATCCGAAAATTGACATCAACTTCATTATTGGGCTCTTGTTGTCTAAAGAACGTGGGAGGAAATGGTGCCATTGGTAGGGCCCCCACTTGATGTTGTTCATACCTATTTAGCGCTTCATCTCTAGCTTTTTTGCGGAGTCTATCTTGAAGTTCATGTAAACCACATGCGACCCTACGCAAGGTTATCTTAGAAATGGGTTCCAAAGGTGAGAAACTCGGCCCCAATTCTAATAACGAGCGCGCACCGTCAGGAGAGTCATGCCTCCTAACACGGTTAGCCGTGAATTTTCTTGCACATTATCTAACCTATTGTGATCTGTTTGATGTTCCTTAGCGATATTTTTGTGCGCTATTGAAGCAGTGTTATGTAATCTACTCAAAAGGTCTTCGAATTTTTTTCGCAAAGTTACTTTAGCATTAGACCTAATAGAGTTGCAAATCAACACTGACCTGCCCACTATTCTCCTCCAGAGGCGGTCCTCCAAATATTGAGCAGAAAAGTTTTCCTTCGTCACGCACTTCTTCCACTTGGCGAACATCTGGTTTTGTCGGCTTCGTAGATAGGTGCGTAGTATTCGCAATTCGATGTCCAATACTCGGTGACTGTCCTCTGGTAGTCCGCATACGTCGTGTAGTCGTCTTCTTTTGATGAAGTTCGGAACGACTCGATGTTTCAGACAGCGACGGAGAAAGTGTATTGACTGTCGAGCTAAGACGATCTTTTGTCTCAGCGACAGCGCTTCTTTTACAAGTCGGAAGTATCTAGCTGGTACATCTTGCAGTAAGTCCCATGACCGACTTTCTATTAACCATGAGATTAATCAAGTAATTCTTCGTATTTTTGTTGAGCAAACGCTAGGTGTTATTATTCGGGACTTTGAAGTATGTGTCACGATCCTCGCACGCGAATCAAAAACACGGGCGCGAAAAACTCTCGAGGCATTCTTGATTAATTCCAGAAATCCGAAAATGAACCGCAGGGAAGAATGCCTCAATATCACGCGTGATATAGGGCAGTATATAAGCCTGTTATTCTGATGGGAGGGGCACATACATAATGCTTCCATGTGATTTCTGTGCGGTTGGTCTCTACGTGACATACTTAGTGGAAACCTCATAGAAAGCGGTGAGTGTGCAAAGCTGTGTTCAATGTGATTGAAATCTTGGTTTAGAGTTTCTTTGTTTGGTTATGGAGGCGTCTGGCCGAGTGGATTGCTATCAATTTGACCCCTCTAGGCTCTGAGGAAGGCGAAATCCGCCGAAACGTCAGCTCATTCGTGAATAAAGAATAGTAACAACTCGCGTTTGCTCAACACAAATACGAAGAATTAATGAGGAGAATTTTCGTTATCGTCGTAGCCTTCTTATTTATAGACCATCGTTGTTAGTAACTCGAAAGACCGACTTTCTATAAACCTCGGCATACATAGTTGATATATTTATTTATGCGCTCTTATAAACTGATCTTCTTGAGCTGACGCGAGGTTGGTACAGTTCTTCGTTGTCGTTGTCGTTGTCGTTGTTTTTGATGTTATTGAACGATGGCCGGCGTTTCGGCGACTTCGCCTTCCTCAGAGCCTGGACGTATTTAATATTAGAATATTTTTATTATTCGGTGGAAAAGAAAGGTTAAAGTGTTAATGAAGATCAAACTTTCAAATAGACGCCATATTGAACAGAAAGGCCACTCACCGTGATGTTACGTGCGGGACTGGCCCACACGTAGTTCACGTGGGGTCGCGAGCAAGATACGCCCCGCCGTCAAAATACCATTTTGAAATAGGGCACCAGGTCACGCGTGTTAGCGAGGCATTCGTCCTTCCGGTTCATCTTTGGATTTTTGAAATTTATCCAAAACGCCTCAAGAGTTTTGCGCGTTGATGTTTTTGATTCCTGCGCTAGGATCCGCACATTCACTTCAAAATCATCGCCGTTGTGCTTTTGTGCCCTATGCGTACCTAGAGGGGTGTTTAAACGGATTTTAGCTTTCCCATCTAGATGTTCTTCTATGCGGACACAAAGTGGTCTACCCGTTTCCCCGATATATTCCTCGCCGCATGCATTACATGAGATCAAGTATTTTATACCTAAACTCATGCAATCCCCGTCTCTCCCATTGGGACAGAT